TACACAAAAGGCCCCTACTAAATGAAAGCATTTGTCATCAATATTCTGCAACATTCAACCTTCATAATCAACAAACACTCCTTTCCCCTCTCCATCTCACACAACATATCTATTCTCTCATTCCCCTCTCCATCCAGGCAACACTCTGAACCTCCCTCATTCCTCCTGACCATTTCTGAGTAATTCTACATTGGGCCAGCTTATAAACGTTGTATAATGCTTTACTGTTTAAGAAGTTCTCATATATAAACGTAATCCAGCAACAATCTCTGGGGGGCCAAAGATGTAGCTCAGTGAAAAGGATTCTAGGAAAGGGTCTCTTTTCCAGAGAGCTGTATTTTGGAGGTCAAAGTATGGAAACAAGTAAGGCAATACAACATAACCAACAATACCAAGGAGGCTTTACAGTCTGCACGATTTAAATGTTATAGGGATGGCAAAACAGACTCATCCTGCAGAACTACTGCCAGTGGCTTCCTGGAACTATGTTGAAAAAGATTGTAAAGTTCCATTCCAGGTTCTGCACTGAAGATTACTGTGATTAACAATGTCTGCCATGGAAACTGCAATGCACATGAGGTTTGAAATGAGTGTGGGACTTGGAACTAGACAGACTTCAGTTTGAAAGACAGTTATCACTTCAGCCATCCTGGCCAAGTGTTCCTTAACCTCTGTAACTTCATTTCCTCAGCTGTAATTTGGAAGTGAACGAGAACTATTTCGCAGTAAAGGATTTAATGGAACAGCGTTTGTAAAGTACCTGGGAAAGTGCCAGTACTTCATTCACAATGCTGACTTCCTTTTCCTTCGGGACACACCGCTGGGCCCAAGCATGGCTCTCTGAGTTTATGTGTTAGGTAACAGATGCTTTGAGTTCACTGGACTCCAACGCAGAAAACCATGTTTGGGTTTTGATTCCAAAACCACAAAACTGTATCTGATTTTCTGCAAGAAAACTTAAGGGGTGAAACTATTCACATCCCTGAGAATGATCAGTCCTTGCGTTGCCAAGGCAGGTTCAGAGGAATGCCTTCCTCTCCATCTAATCTTAGTCTGTACAACCAAGCAGTTAGCAAGGGACCTACACTAGCCAACCTCCTGTCCAAACAGCTTCTTTCCACCAGCAATATCTCTACTACTACGCTCTGCTAAGCTTGCCCTCACTACAGAGACAATCTCCCATCTAGTAAACTGTCCCTCAGGCTCACCATCTTAACTAGCTCTATATGTTACCACTTATGTCTTCAACTTGGATTCTAGCAAAATGAAAAATCTTTGACATAGATTTGGATCACTTCCGGCTGATCACATATTGCAATGAAAATGCAATTATACTATAAACCTGGCAATCCTAGCCTCCACACCTGCCATGGCAATCCACAATCTGTGCAAACTACAAGACACCCAGTTATTCAAACCATTTCACATATGTATGATTTTATAGAGCCAGACCTCAATTCAAATGCCAAGACTCCTCTCCATTTGCCAAATGATCATAGGCTAGCTATTTGATCTGCTAAGTTTTTTATTTTAAAAACAAAAATATAAAGTGTCCATTTAGAATATAGTGTTTGCCTCATGACAGGTGGTAATAATTACAAATATTTCTATCAGGTTTACTGTATCTTTATTTTTGTTAAATAGTGTTCTTATTAATTTGACAGAAGAGGCATTTTTTGCTGGTGGTGCTGGTCCTGGGACTTGAACTCAAGGCCTGGATGCAGTCCCTGAGCTTTTGTGCTCTACCATTTGAGCCACAGTTCTGCTTCTGTCTCTTTGGTGGTCAATTAGAGATCAGAGTTAAATGGACTTCCCTGCCCAGACTGGTCAAACCATGACCCTCAGATCTCAACCTCCTGAATAGCTAGAATTACAGACATGAGCTAGTGCTGAGCTAAGAGGAGGTATTATTGTTCTCATATTATGCTTGGAGAACCTGAGACACAGACCTTAACCACTTCATAACTGTGAATAATTCACTTTAAAAATACCAATAAAATTTATATTTGGCTGTTGTTTTGCTAAGAAGAAACCAGTGTATCCTCTGTGTTAGTGACACAGGTCTTCTTTTTAAAATTGTTATTATAAAGGTGATATACAGAGGAGTTACAGACGTCAAATAATGAGTACAATTCTTTGGACAATGTCACCTGAAGTCTTTTTTTTTTTTTTTTTGTCAGTTGTGGGGCCTGAACTCTGGGCCTGGGCCCTGTCCCTCAGCTCTTCAGCTCAAGGCTAGTGCTCTACCTCTTGAGCCATAGCGCCACTTCTGGCTTTTTCTGCTTATGTGGTGCAGAGGAATCAAACCCAGGGCCTCATGCATGCAAGGCAAGCGCTCTACCACTAAGCCACCTTCCCAGCCCCCTGCAGTCATTTTTAAAGTAGGTATTTCCTACACTGCTATGTGCTTGACAAGGATTCAGCTCTCCATCTTTCTCTTGTGATGCCACCACGAAACCTCATGTGTCACATGGAATCTATCCTTAATTTATTAGTCAAAGACAATTAGCACTGGTAGCACCAACTCATAAACAGAAATACAACAGACCTGACAGCTTGCAAATGACTCATCACAAGTTTGAGGCCAGCTTAGGAAAATGTGCAAGCCCTTGTCTCAAAATGAAAAAATTAACAGGGCTGGGGAAGTGGCTCAGTGGTAGAGACCTTGCCTAGTGCACACGAGGCTCTAAGTTTGATCCCAAGAATTGACGAATAGGGGAGGGAGAACCTTTGGGAAGACTAGTGAGAGCTCAGAGACACAAAAACAAATCTCTATCCAGGTGATCAACGCCCCAAGGAAACTTGCAATCCTTGCCTAGTAAGAACTCAAGGGAGGGCCCTGCAAACACTAGCCCAGTTAATGACAGTGCTAGGAGAAAACCTGTGAATACTGCCCGGGGAGGAAAGCAGGCCTTGAGGCAAAGTTTGGAAGCTATTACTCACGTCTGAGTCAGATCTCTCCTAGAGACTCTGATAGCTATTACCCCATATATCCAAAAAAGTACAGAACATCATCCAACTGCCTGAATTTCTTCCAGCCAGCTTGCACTTTGTTCAAGCATTTCTCCTAGTAGTCTTGTAGATCACTCATACTACCAGCTGGAATAAATAGACCACCGGTTCAGCTAACCAGCCCAAGGGCACCAAACCAATGGGGGCTGGAGGTAGGATATCAACTGGGATCTGGCTGGCTTCAGTTCTCTGTTCCTGCCATTTCAAGCTGATGGTCTCTCTTTCTCTCTCCCTCTCTCTCTCTCTCCTCCCCCCTTCTCTCTCCCTCCCCTCCCCTCTTTAGTTTCATCTTTGAAAGCTCATTCACAGCTTTCCACTTTCTCCATACATACATTCCTGTTGATTTCAGGTGAAATACAATTTCCTCCCAACCCAACTTCACCAGAACAGGCCTTCAATCAACATCTTTCTGAATGGTACCTAGCTAAAACCAGTACTGATCAAAACTTTCAAATGCATTAAGAAGCCATTGAAAATTTACCATATAAATTTTGGATCTAAACTGCTTTTTTAAAAAAGCATATAAATTGCTGGAGTCAAATCTTAATTATCCACAATTATGCCTTATTTCCTCAATTCACTTTTTCATTCAATGAACAAGTGTGGTTCAACTATATTCAAGGCAACCAAGCAGACAGCAGGGTTCCTATGATAACAGGGCTCTAACTAGAATGCAGAGGAGAAAGAACCGTGGGAAATGCCGATGAAAATATCAGCGTTGACAACGGTGGAGGCTAGGGAGTACTTCATAAAATCATCTATACTTTGGTATGTAGTTTTGAAATTATGTGATTATCCTTTTTAAAATCACCCAACTCTCCCTTGAAAATTTTGGGCCAAAGTACATGTTGTAGTTGAATTCGTTTTTAATTCTTCTTGAAACTATTCTTGATGGCTGTATTTTTTTTGGGGGGGGGGTTAAGGAGCTTTGAAATAGAGTAGGAAAGCCCCTAATGATGCTATTTTCACTACCTAAATTAAAAGATTACTACCCAGAACAGATTACAGAGAAAGTATTTATAAAGAAAAGATGCATGCGTCTGCAAATCAAATAAGTGGTTATCTAAAATAAACTTTGGAGTGACCATTTACACAAGTACAGTTCAACAAAGTGCTGGCTTTAAAGAGGAGGGGAACCACAGCTTAGTGCGCCCCTCTTCCCTCCCCGCTCCCCGGGGGAAGGGGGAGGCTACCTACGTGGAACTCCGGACACCAGCCCAGAACCCAGGTAACAACTTCCAGAACCTGTTGCAGAATTTCGTAACCAAAGACTGTGTGCCTGAATGGTGGAAAGTTCGGGCAAAAGCTGGAAGCAATCCACTGACATTTCAGTGCTCTTCTTTTCAGCACGTACGTTTTGAGGCACGGTGGGCAGAGACCAAACAATGCGGATAACAGGACCTCAGCTCGGGCGCAGGGGCGGGGGTCGGGGCGCGGCGACTGGAGGAGCCCCGGTACCCCGTGGCACGGATCCAGCCCGTGCTTAGGTCGGCTTCTGCGTGCACACACGTCAGATCTCGGGGCTGGGGGCGCAACTCGGAACCCCTCTGCCTCAGCCCAAGCAAGAACACCCCCGCCCAGGAGGAAGGGGGCCCCAAACTGCCGCGAAACTGCGGATCTGCCGCCACCAAGCACTCCCGGCCCCGCCTCTCCCGGGGTGAACCGGTCAGGAGAAACTACAGGTCACGCCGGATTGTTTACCTGCCCTGCGGGCTGGATCTGGAAGACCGCGGGGAGTGGAGGGGTGTGCTGGGGTGTCGGGGAGAGGCGGGGAGGGGGCGCTCGGGGACGCAAGGAAGAAGGATGGGTGGGGACACAATGGGGGCCCGATTGTAGGCTGGGGGGGGGGGAAGGGCAGGAAGGAGAGAGGGATCAGACACTACCAGCAGGATGGCGATGACCCGGGAGCCGGCGGGACCCGCACCCCCATCCCGCTCGGTGGGCTCGGGATGCAGACAACCTTCCCCGCCCCACCCCTCCCCACTCACTCGAGTCGGAGGCGCGAGCGCACTGCCTGCGGAGCTGGCGAGAACCGGACCGGAGGACGGAGCCCGCGAAGAGTCCCGGAGCCGCGAGGCTGCTCCCGGGAGCCTTTTAAAGCCCCCCGCGGGGGCGTGGCCTGCCTCGGCCACGCCCCCTCCCCGCCGCGCCCAGCAGGAGTCCCAGCGCTCCGAGCCACTCAGCCGGCGGCTGCTGGCTGCCCGCTCGGGGACTGGGAACCGCGAGACAAAAGGCAGGAATCCCGCCTCTTCCTGCCGCTTCCCGCCGGCCCCGCACCTCGGCCGCTCCCGAAACCCCCCGCCGCCCGCCTCCCGGGCACCCAACAGCTTCGAGGAGATCCGAGGACGGAGGGAGGGATCCCGCCGGGAAACGGCGCTCGCCGCCCGGCCCGCACCTTCCCGGGACCGGGCTGCGGCACGCGAGGTTTCCGCCTTCTGGGTCCTAGAAGTGGACTGTGCCGGTCAGCTTCCCCGCTGCTACCCGAGAACCGCGGCGGGCTGTCAGCGCCTGGGACTCGGTTCCTTTGCTGTGGTTAAAGCGCACAGTTCCGCGTCCAGACTAAATAAATGACGCTATGAAAACGCCCCGCTTCCCAAGCGTGTGCTTTTCCCACCGCGCCTGCCTGGCTGGGGGGGGACGAGCCCTCCCTCCTCCTTCCCTCCCTCCTTCCCCCCTCCTTCCCTCCCTCCTCCCCCCCCCCAAACCCTGGCGCCACAGGGCTCCTGGTTTCCATTTGCTGATGTCAGAAAAAGCCAGGGGATTCCGATGACCGCGGACAAAGGAAGGGACCTGAAAACCTGAGTTTCAGGGTGATTCATTGTGGTAGAAGGAAAATAACGCCATCTGGTTCGCATGCCAGGCCTTCCCGTGACCTGCCCCTCGGTCCTCATGAATAATCCCTGACAATATGGGGAGCCCCAAATCCACAGTGAGCACACTAACTTGCCACGGCACACATCAGCCACTTCTGGTCCCACACAGCCGGCCGACTCCGCACCGCTGACATCGTGGGCTGGATAATTGTTCTGTGGTGAAATGCTGTCTGCGTTGTAGGTGTCTCTCCCTACTAGATGCCAGTGGCACCCCTGTGGGCGCGTGTGGCCATCCAAACGGTCACCATATACTGCCAAATACTCCCTTGGAGGAGGGCAGGATACAGTGGTCCTGGTATACGCTATATCCGTATGACAAGGTACAGAGCTGGGCTGTTTTGTGTGCTGGGGCCAATCCAAAACAAATTCATTATACTAGTATGATTCTCTGTCTAGGGTACTGTGCAAAAAAACACACTGTTTTGACTGGCATCTCCTTACAATGTGGCAGAAGTCTGGAAGTATTGGGGCCTGCTGAGAGTTTGCCCAAAAAGGAGAAATCCTTGAGTGACATCAGCTGGTACAGGTGGTGATCCAGAAGCCAGTCTGTACACCCCAACCCCTACTTCATTTGCTTTTTAGTTTAGCTGCTTTATTTTTTTTTCTTGAAGCTGGGTTGTTTCAGACTACAATGACTTTTCTTCTCTATTTCTGTGGGCATTATGTCTCAATATATTCCACAATGAATATGAAAGCAATGGATGTTTGATTTTTTTATTGACTCTGTATTTTTTTTATCATTACATTGATAGTGTTTTAGTTTAGTTTTTGTTTTTGTTGTTTTTTTTTTCCCAGTGAGAGGATCTCAGTTCAGGGCCTCTTGTTCTTGCTCAATTTGCTTTCTCCACTGGTATTCTGCCACCTGAGACACGCCTCTAGTCTTCATTATTATTGGTTAATTAAAGGTCAAGTCTCTAGGACTTTTCTGCCCAGGCTGGCTTTAGACTACAAGCCTCCACATCTCAGCTTCGGTAGTAGTTTAGGATTACAAGCATGAGCAACTGGCACCAGACTAAAAATTCTCAAGGTAGGTGTTTATTGCTGTTTTGTTTTGCTGGTACTGGGGCTTAAACTCAGGATTCTCTCTCACTTGCCTGGCTTGCTCATTGAAGTTTTTGAATACAGTGATCTTAAGAAAGACTGTGGCTTTGGAATCAAGCACGTGCTGACAAAGTACAGCCCTGCAATCATTGTACTTTAGATGTGGAAGTTCATCCCAAATGGCCTAGCCACTAGAAGGAATAGGGAGGAATGGAACATTTAAGAGATGGGGTCTAGTGGAATGTCTCAGGCCATTGGGGGACAGGCCCATCCTGGGGCCCAACCTAGGTTTCGCCCTCTGCTCCTCAGCTACCCTGAGGGGACAGAACTTTATCCATCACATGTTCCTGCCACAAAGTAGGTGCTGAGTCACCAGGGGACCAAAGCAACCCAGCCCATGTCATGAACTGAAACTTCCAAAACTGTAAGCCAAAGTAAACCTTCCCTCTATATGTTGTTTTATCTCGGCATTAGTTACAGTAATCAGGAAAGCTAACGATCACCTGTTAGGTCTGTGTGCTTTGGGCTAAGTATTTAATATCTTAGCACCTGTTTCTTATCTATGGCACAAGGGTAAGACACACCTTTATGGTATTATTAGGAAAATCAAATCACGTAATATACGTGAAATGTCAAACACAGCACCTAGCCCACAGCAAATAAGCAATGATGGTTGTTATGTTGGGCAAGGATATCTTGATGTTCTTTTCTGCCTCTTGAGAAAGTAGTTGACATTGTACTTTGCTATTCACTCATGTTATGTTGCTAAGGGTTTGATACTAAAAAGGTATTAAGTGTTTTCTAAAACAATTAAGAGCGGGTAAGTAGAAAGCAATCTGTGTGCCTTGTTAGTGGGGGAAATTTCTCTCCTGGAGAAAAAAAAGCCCTTCTTCATTCCATATGGTTCTTGTCTGTTTGACCCCTTTAACCCTGTAAGAAACAAAACTGAGCATTAGAGATGTTTTGCAGGATATTTCCTTCTCCCACTCAAAATACATATTATCCCTTCATTTTCTGGAGCCAATTAACCAACTTTTTAAATCAAAGTCCTCTGTTGAGGTCAGCGCCCTAAGGCAAGTTGAACCATGATTTTTTTTCTACATGAGTTGGGTTCCAAGCTTAGATTTTACATTTATTATCTTTATTTCATGCTACTGTTTCTTAGTAATAACTCTGATCCAGTTGAATATGCATATAAGTACAGGGCTTTATTTTATTTTACAGGAAGAGTTCTTTCTAGAGACCATCTTAAACTGTAATGGAAAAGAAACTTTTAGTATACATTAAATAAAGAGGGTGAATTCCTGATTTGCTAATCTACAACACAAGAGTTAGCAACATGCTGGGAGATGAAAATTACACATTCTTGAATAGGATGGTGGTTCATTTCTGTCACCTTAGTCTTAGCTACTTCGAGGAAGAAATAGTAAGATCAAAGCACATAGTGAGCCCCAGGCAAAAACCACATGGCCCTACATGAAAAAACAAAGACTAAAGCAAAAATGGGCTGGGTATTTTGTGGCAGAAATGTTGCCAAGCTTTAGCAAGGCTCTGAGTTCAATCTCCCAAAAAAGGGAAAAAATGTTGTTTATAGCCAACCCTAATTAATGTTTTGTAATGAATTTTCTGACACAGTAAACCATAATGTGAATTACGTGAGCTTAAATTCTGAAAGGGAGTTTATAGATTATAGTATTTATTTTCTTTTTTTCTTTTTTAGTGGGATTTGAACTCAGGATTTTATGCCTTCCTTGGCTCACTTATTCAGCTGGCACTCTACCACTTGAGCCACACCTCTAGCTGGCTTTTTGCAGGTTAATTGGAGATGGAGTCTTCCAATCTATTCTGCTTGGACTTTCTAGACCTCCTAGTTTGTTAGGATTACAAGTGTAAGTCACTGGCACCCAGCTAGATTACAGCATCTTTTTTTTTTTTCTGTCATACTTGTTTTTCTCAATCTGCATAGACTCAATTTCCTAACCTTTTTCCTTCAGTAGACAACTTCACCACTATTATCTGTTAAATAAATAACATTGTTATTTATGTTTTCTTTTAGATCAGAGCTTTCCATCTCTGCTTATGCTTTTTTTGTAGTAGTGGAGTTTTTTTCCCCGAATTCTATCAGTATAAAAAAAATACTATGAACTTCAACTCTGAGACAGCTCATTCTTCCAAGTGATCTTAGCCCCTCAATACTTGGTTTCAGCTTTCTCCCTTATTTTCCATTGGTGACATCCTGTTCTTCTTCGATCATGTTCAGAGCACCAAGCAGCGTTTTCTCACCCTTCTTCCACTTCTTCCTACATCTATACCTGTTGTCTCTGACCTCCGAGGTTCTTGTACACCACAGCATCTATTCTGACTGGGTTTTTGATCAAATTCTTTGACTTTTTTTTAAACCAGTACTGGGACTTGGGCCTAGGTGCTATCTCTGGTTTTTTACTCAAGGCTAGTCCTCTACTACTTTAGCCACAGCTCCATTTCCAGCTTTTTGCTTGTTAAAAGTCTTATGGGCTTTCCTGCCAAAGCCGACTTTGAACCACAATCCTCAGATCTCAGCCTCCTGACTAGCTAGGATTACAGGAATGGGCCTGCAGCACCTGCCTTTAAAAAACAAACAACAAAACCCAGCAAGTCTTAAACTTTTATCCATAAGTAGGCCTTTTGCTTCAACTTCTCAACTGTTTGGGACTACAGGTATGCCCCATCCTGCTTTGGCATTCTGTAGACCTGGTTCCTTTTGAAATAAATAATATGTTATCTACCCTATGGTCTGAAAAGCTGACAGAAATGTCCCTGACTCCTGTAGTAGGCATTTATGATTGTGGATCTGCATCCATTCTTCTCCTTTCCAGAGGTCTGGGTTTCTATTTAGAGGTCTCCATGGATTCCCGAAAGTGATTCCACAGCCTTAGTCTGAGGCAGAACACTGGAACTGATCAAAGCATTCCAGCCACTGGCTTAGGGTGGGAGAATTGGCAGTTGGGAGAGATGAGGGGGTGAACTCTGGTGAAGTAGTGAGAGTGGTATTCAGGTGTTTATTTGTTCTGCAAGATGCTGGGTGCCCATAGGAGGCCTTTGGGAGTTCCTGTTTTACTTGTAGGAAGCCAGACTGAAGATATTCTACATGGAAGACAGAGAAAGGCAAGCAGAGCTGCAAATGAACC